TCTCCCGCTATATCTACCTCTCTCTCTCCCTCTCTCTCTCCCTCTCTCTTCTCTCTCTCTCTCTCTCTCTCATCTCTCAGCTCTCTCTCTCTCTCTCCCTCCTCTCCTATCTCTCTTCGTCTACTCTCTCTCTCTCTCGCTCTCTGTATCTCTCTCGGTAGCTCTCTCTGTCTCTCTCGTCTCTGTCTCTCCCCTCTCTCTCTCCCTTCTCCTCCCTTCTCTCTCTCTCCGCTCTCTCTAGCTCTCTCTCTCTCTCTCTCTCGTCTCTTCTCTCTCCCCATATTCTCTCTCTCTCTCTCTCTCTCTCGCCTCTCTCTCTCTCTCTCTCCTCTCTCTCTCTCTATATCTCCCTCTCTCTCTCTCTCATCTCTCTCCTCTTCTCTCTTCTCTCTCTCTCTCTCCTCTATCTCTCCCTCTCTCTCTCTCTCTCTCTCTCTCTCTCCCTCTCCTCTCCCCTCCTCTCCCCTCTCCCTCTCCCTATCCCTCTACCTCTCCCCTCTCTCTCTCTCTTCTCTACTCTCTCTCTCTCTCTCTTCTCTCTCTCTCTCCTCTCCCTCTCCCTCCTCCCTCTCCCCTCTCCCTCTCCTCTCTCTCGATCTCTCTCTCTCTCTCTCTCTCTCTCTCGTCTATCCCTCTCTCTCCTCTCCCTCTCCCTCTCCCTCTCCATCTCCCTCTACCTCTCTCTATATGTCTCTCCTCCTATGTCCTCTCCGTCTGTCTCCTGTATCTCTTTCTGTCTTTGTCTCTCTGTCTCTTTTTCTGTCTTTGTCTCTATGTTCGCTCTTTCTCCTTGCCGGCGTTGGTTTTTGTTTGTTTGTTTGTTTGTTAGCAGCGTAGCTCAAAAAGTTCTGGCCGGATTTCATCGAAATTTTGGGGACAAGTCAGAAAGGGACTAACTTAGAACTGATTAAATTTTGGTGACATTCCGAGTTACCGTCTGGACGCAGCAGCGGTGCAAGTACATTATATACGCACCTTGGCGGAGGTCTGCACTCTCTGAAGTCTTTTCTAGTTGTGTATATGTATGTATTTATATATTTGTGTATATATATATATTTATGTATTTGTCTATGTATATATGTATTTGTCTATGTATATATGTATATGTATATGTATATATGTATATGTATGGTATATATATAAATGTATATATGTATATGTTCGGTATATATATAATGTATATATGTATTTATATGTATATGTATGGTATATATATAAATGTATATATGTATATGTACGGTATATATATAATGTATATATGTATTTATATGTATATGTATACATATATATACATGTATATATGTATATATTATGTATATATGTATATGCATATGTCTATATGTATATGCATATGTATATATGTATATGCATATGTCTATATGTATATGCATATGTATATATGTATATGCATATGTATATATGTATATGCATATGTATATATGTATATGCATATGTATATATGTGTATGCATATGTATTCTAGGGTGTTCATTTTTATTTTCTCCTTTCTTCCTCCTCCTTTACTCGCTGCCCACTTTGATGTGAAAGATGACATGCCATAATCAACATTTTATGCCTATTAGTTTGTTTTTTTTTTCCACCCAAAAGCAACTACTGTGCACGGATCACTTGCAACTTGCCTACTTATGAGTGCTGCTGCAACACTTTGCAAAGACATTTCTTATCTTCTCTCCCTAAACCAACAGGGGACTGGATCACTTACAAAGTGGACCACAACCTCTCTACCAAGGAAAATGGGACCGAGGCATCTGTTGTGGGCCTCCAGCTGTTGTCGAGCGTCGAACCCCTGCGAAGGAGGAGGATTAGGGGGGAGGTGTCACGGCAGTATCTGTCCTATGCTGTCATCAATGAGGAAGTATGAACCTTTTCTGTGGTTTTGGTTTATGTGGTTTTAATGTTCTTTGTTTTCTATTTCTGTATTTTTATGAATGGTTTTTAATTTTTATTTGTTTTATGGGAGGAAACTGACTTAACTTTTCTTTAATTTCTAAGAAGAGTTAGAGATAATTTGCATGTGAATGGTTGAAACCAATAAAGTGTATATCTGTTGTTGGTAATAGCGATCAGTTTTATCCCCTTCCCCCTTCTGCCTTTCTCCTTCCTCCTTGTTTCTTCCCTTTTCCTGTTTCCCACTTCCTCTTTCTCCCCTCCCCTTTCCCTCACCTCCTCCCCTCCATCCTTCCTCTCCCCCTCCCTTCTCCCTTCTCCCTCCTCCCTATCATACATTCACAATAGTTTTTTTTTTTTTTTTTTTTTATATTTCATCAGGTCTTCTGCCCAAAGAGCATGTTTGATGAAGCATTGCTGCAGGCAGGAGACTCGGTCATGGTAGATGTGATAGAGAGCGATCAGGAGAAGTTTTGCTGGAGAGCCGTCAAAGTGTCTCCGGTGCCTGCATATTCGGACATGCCAGTCAAGAAGGTGAGGAGGCTTCTCTTGTTTTAATGGAGAAAAGAAGGCAAAACAAAGGAAAAACTAAGTTGGATAGGATAACAAACATTTAATTTCTTATATTTAAAAAATATATATTTTGTTTATTATGGTAAGCTTTCACTTGTTTCATGAGTTTGAAAGTTGCTTCTTTGCAGGGCAGGAGATCTTCCTTGCTGAGTAACCAGCTGGGATTGGCAGGTGATGTGTCCTCTGCCAAGGATGACAAAATCCTGCATTTACTGGAAAACAAGGCTGGCATCATTATCTCAAAGTCTCTTAGGTGAGTGTGGGAGTGAGAAATTTAGTCAGTGTCTTATTTAGTGGAAAAGATCATTTGAGGAAGCTTGTGTACAGATCTTGTGTGACTTCTCTCTGGTACCTTGGAAAATTGCCAGGAATGTGTAATGAATGTGCATGCTCACGGAAGCATTTTCTTACCGGTGCTTTTTGTTCTCAGGTTTCCTGTGGTATACCTAGGCAAGACAGATTACATTGCTGCATTTGTTAAGAATGTTGGGAGAGAAAGTCGTACCCTTAGGCGTGTTTATATTGTCTCAACATCGGAGGACTGCCAGTTGTCAGTGGATGGCTGCTCTGTGGGGGGACGTGCCTGCGAGATGCCCGTTGTGGTTCATCCTGACTCAGGGATCAGTGTCCGTCTTCAGTGCACAGCCATGCTGCTAGGTCTGGCCAAGCACCTGTGCGTGTTCGACTTTGTGGATTTCCAGGTCGGACGTTATGTCAGCGCTGTAGTGGAGGATGAGCAGATGCATCTGATGCTACCCGCTGCTCCTCGCTCATTACAGCAGATGTACAGGAAGGCGAGAGCTCACCAGCCCTCAGAAAGCACAGTTATCCGAGGGGAAGCGCCCTTCAAGCCCCCACCCTTTCTGCCTGTCAGCCTGCCCACGGCTAATATCCCAGATTACCTCTGGGATGCAGTGCAGGAAGAGAAGGACATCCTAGACCTGGTCCCCTGTCTGAGAGATCCCCTGACCAGAGCCAATCACAAGGAGAAGCTGTCTGCTCTCTTGCACTTGGAAGAGATAGCCATGACACAGCAGATGAGGCAGGTAAGTTGGAACTGACATTGAAATTGCAATTATTACTTTAGCCAATTCATACGTAGTTGTAAAGAGCACTGTGTAAGAAAACAGTTGCAGTCTTCAGAGAGTTAAAGGTCTTTTGTGGAGGTACTAATAATGGGCTGAGCTGATCCAATATATTCCATATAAAAAAAAAAAAAAAATGAAGTATGAATATCCAATGTAAGTTGGTATGATTTTGTGTTATTTTTTTTTAGAGATAAGAAATCAGTCCAAGTGTCAGATCAGTTGTTTCATTTTGAGCTGAAGAAGTACCTTGACAGTGAGTAGCGGAATGAAAGCACCATGTTTGAATTTATCCAAAGCATCCCCCCTCCCCCCAAAAATACTATATGTATAAATGAATTACGTCCAGCAGATGCAAGTAAATAAATAGAGAAGTCTAAGTAGTCTTACTAAAAAGCTAACACTCAATTATCTATTTAGTGCCTCTTTGCCTTGATAGGAAAATTGAGTGTTGTTACTTGATTTTAATTTATGACCTCATTAAGCATTTATCACTTCATTAAACTTGGAGGTGTTGCAATTATCATCACTTTGCCTGTATGTGTATATGTTTATCACTGTCTTTTGCTATCTCTCCGTTTCTATCTGTCTGTCTGGTTGTCTCTCTGCTAACCTTCACCCTTGGCTGGTTGATCTTACAGTTTGACATGGCCCGATCGACCCTGTCTCCCCATGGCGAGTACCTCAGTCTGACTGTGCCTGGCCTGGCTGAGAGACGGCCGTCCCTTGTGGTAGGAGACACTGTCCTAGTCTCATCTCCGGGCGCCTCTCCAGGGGCGGGTGAGCTCCACTATGAAGGATATGTCCATGAGGTGTTACATACACAGGTGAGCTAGTGCTGGTTAGTTAATTCATTGCCAATGGGAATGATGTATGTGTATGACATTCCCACTGTGAGTTTACTTGTTTGTTTTTACACGTAGATGGCTACACTTGTAACAAGTCAACAATGAACCAATTACAAGTACTGCCTGTCTCAGCCGTTTACCCTTTTCTTTGATTTTTGAAAATATTTTACCATATCTTATTTTGCTGTTACTAATGTTTATAACATTATAGTAATTATAACGTTTGTAATTAAAATAACACCATCGATATTCATAGTACTAGAAAAAAACAAACTTTATTGCCATTTCAAATCAGTTAAGGTCACAAGGTCAACTAATTGACGCCTTTGTGGATACGCACTAGCAGAGACATTTCACAAAATATATAAGAAATGAGCACAGCATTTTCCCCATTTTTTAATTCATTTTCCTTGGTGGCATTGGGTTAATTGTTCATTATGCTTATATTTATTTGTTTTTTTAAATATTGGAGTTAGAGTTCAATTGGAATTTGATGTTGGAAATATTCCAGTGCAAAAAGAGAAGGAACTGATATTGTATATAGATATTGGGATGAAAATTGAGATACGTTCCTTTTCTACTTTGCCCGTGCCATAATGAGAATAAGCTAGAACTTAGAGCACCCATGGAAGGGAACATTTAGATTTCTCAAAGAGTTCACTACAGCATATGGAACTATTAATATATGTCAAGTTCTTAGATCTTGAAAGAGTGTAAAAAATGAAAAAAATGAGGTGAACAACATCAATGGGGGACATCAGTCTGCTCTAATCTCTGCCAATAAATGTTTTTTAATGTTAAGCAGGTCACCAATTTTAGGATCTTTACAGGCTTAATTTTGGAAAAGGATAACCTGCAAGACATGAAAGTCAAAATCAGTGGTAATTGTTACCTGCAAACATCGTTGGATAGGGTATAATTTGGTGTATGGATAGCACCCCTGCAATGTCAAGTTTTATTTGAACTTTAAGTTCAAATAAGAGGGGATAGATATTCGAGGAGCAGAGGAAGAGGTGGATGTAGGAGAGGATGTGGAGGGAGAAGATGGGATGGAACGTTCAGATTGCCTGGTAAGACAGATAAAGTGAGAAGGAGGAGGAGTAGGCATTGAGGAAGTGGTAGAGATTGGAGTATCTGGATTTAGACTGGAAAAGGAATTTGACTGGGGAAGAGAGGGAGTTTAGGTAGGATGGTTTGGGATAGAGGGATGAGATACTGGGGCAGTTGCTGAGGCCTCTTGAGAAGGTGGGAGGGGAATAGAGCAAAGGGCAGTTTTGGAATAGGTAGAAAGAGAGAAACCTTGTCTGCATGCGTCGTGTCCAGACTCATGTTGAGTGAAGCCTAGTTTGAATCTGAGAACTGCTACCTCAAATTCAGTATAATGCATTATGGAAGCCACCACCACAGTTGGCACAAGTATGTGACTGAACAGAGTAATTTGAATGGTCATGACCAGATGGGTTACATAGAGGACAGCAGGCTGAGGATGATAATGTTTGGCTGGGTGGCTAAGACGCCAGCAGTTCTGACATTGATGGGGAAGGGGTCGATATAGTTGCACAGGGCAGGGTACTCTACCATTATAAATTTCACGGGGGATATTATGTCAGTGGAAGATAAGTCGGCAATATTGTTGTAGGACTTGTATTGGCTTCTAGGAAAAATAATGTAGCACTATACTACCACTGCATCATGGTTAACCCAATGGTGACAGGTGAAGAAAACAAAAAAAAACTATTCTCTGGTGAGTAATGGCAGCACGCCAACTTTGAGCGCAGGAGTTCGGTACATCAGGCCAAATCGCTGGGTCGCCGCCGTGGCATACAGCCGTACACAACATTTTGAGTGGTTTGTTATCATGCCTATCGGAGTCACCCGTCGTGAAGGGGTTAACAAGGCAGGTGAACAAGTCATTTTCACAGTCTGACCAGTCCTAGTTGAAGACAGGACAAATCAGTTGGTAAGATGGAAACTGAGTTCAGTCGGAGTATATAATGCATGAGCTTGGGACTCTGATGTAACTGTGACAAGACATAAACAATTAAAACAACAATGAAAGGAAACTTTGCCTACTTGCTTTTGGAGAATTTGTTGGAAGAGGAGGGTATTGCCAGAGTAAGGGGCTAGAAGGGGGAATTGTAAGTAGCTCAGATATGGGCTAAAAAGATTACCAAAAAGATTTGCAGAGTTGGAAGCAGTAGAAGGACGAGTGTGGGAGGAAGATGGGTGTAACGGAGTGAGGTATTACTATCGGAAGGAGGACAGTAGGGATGAAGGGGGGAGGGAGTGGACACTGAAGAATACTGTGCAGTAGGAGCTGGAGTGGAGGATGTTGGGAGAGAGGAAGGGGTGTTTTCTGAAGGTTGAGTAATGACCTGGATGGATGATTTGCAATGGACAGAGCTGACAACAAACATCAAGGAGGAGGTATCAGCATCAGTGGTCAGAGCCGTGGTCAAAGGAGAGGCAGGGTTTGGGAAACAAGAAAAATAAAATTTAGAGAGGCTAGTTGATGAAGGAGCAAGCCTTAATGCCTCTAATAAAGGTAGAAATATTTCGGTATTGGCCAAGACGAACCTGAAATAAATGGGGAAAAGAAATGGTCTACCACTCAGGGTCCCCACAAGGGGTAAGGGCTAAGCAATTAACTTTGTGTGATGGCTGACCCAAAGCCATCACACAAAGCCTTTTAGCATGGCTCTCACACCTTAGGAAGTGGACAGAAGAAGAAAAGAAAGACCCCCCCTCATCAAAGAATGTATGTGAGTGCACATGTGCGTGTGTGTGTGCGTGTGTGTGCGTGCGCAGCTTTTTGATAAAGGGTGTTTTCACTGAGACCTTGGTTTCTGGTGTTTTTATATATATTCTTTATTTGTAATTAATAACCACTGCAAGCAGATTTAGAATAATTACAGAAAGTAAAAGAAGTTATTCACAGTGGAAGCTTGTAAGAATGTCCATTATTTTCTTGTTTTGTTTTCTTAACCAAAATCGCAACCGCAGAGGGTCGCTCCTTTCTCTTCCTCTTATCCTTTGAGAAGCCCGGCAGGCTCTCAAATGACACTCAGACTCCCTAGCGAAGCTCATGCTGCCAGGGCCTTAGCCTCACAGAGGAAGGAGGGACCGACATAGTCCTCTTCATACTCCAGCAAGTAGAAGCGGTTGTAGGCGCCGGAGGGCACGAGCATCCCATACACGCCCATCGAATCGGGCTTGGGAGAAGACATGTACCAGCTGCGAATTGGAGCGGAAGGGTTGAGTCATTAGAAAGCGAGGGGTGATATACAAAATGCATTTATTTTTATTATTAATATTATTATTATTATTATTATTGTTATTATTATTGTTATTATTATTATTATTATTATTATTATTCTTATTATTATTATTTTATTATTATTATTATTATTATTATTATTATTATTATTATTATTATTATTATTATTATTATTATTATTATTATTATTATTATTATTATTACTATTATTATTATTACTATTTTTTACAACCAGTCCCACTAGAGATTTAAAATTACCTAAGGTACTTCCCAGCTCAGAAAGTACAGGGCCCTTTTATCTAAGGCTACGTCATAATAATAAGTAATAATAATAAGAGCATCTGCGGAAGTGATAATATAAGTGAGAACATATATGGAAGCGGGGTCATCACTAAGAATAGTTATATTTTAAGTATTTATTGAAGTGTGTCTTCAGGAGTTGTTTTCAATTTGTAGTTGGTATAGCTGTAATTTTTGTTTCCGTACTATGGCGTGGTAATCTACCATTTTCCTTCACTGTATTGTTTCATTATTATACTTTTTTTAAGTGCTATTTGGTGTTATTTGTGATTTGATTATTTACTCTTTTATAATAAAGAAAGATAAGAAGTGTAATACGTACAAATATTCCAAGGTGTCAATTGGCGAGGCATCCGGCCACTGCCACACGCCGTTGACTTTGCTCCCGCCCGTCCAGAAGATGTATCCACTCATGCCTTTAGAGGGGAAGAGAGGGAGGAGGGGAAGGGAATGGCGACAGAAGGAGAAAGGAGGAGAGGGGGAGGAATTGGAGGAGGAGACAGAGAAGGATATGATGTATGAGAAGGGGAAGGAGAGGAGAGGAGGAGGATATGATGTATGAGAAGAGGAAGGAGATTAGAGGAGGAGGATATGATGTATGAGAAGGGGAAGGAGAGGAGAGGAGGAGGAGGAAGAGGATAGTAGAGGGGATGAAGGCGAGAAAGGAGAGGGATAGGAGGGGAAGGGGATGAAGTGAGGTGAGGGAGAAAGACGAGAGGGTAAGGAGAAGGGAGGAGAGGGAGAATAAGCAGGGGCAGAGGAAAAGAGGAAGGAAAGAGAGGAAGAGGAGAGGGAGAATTGAGGAGAAAGGATAGAGGGGAGAGGGAAAGGAAAGGGGAAGAGGGAGGAGAGAGAGAAAGGGGAGAAGGGAGGAATGAGGGAGGAGAGAAACAGGAAACAGACAGAGAGGAGGAAAGCGAGAGAGATATAGATTGATATATTTTTCATACATTTTCTCATCAGTTCATTATATGCTACTTTTATTAAAAATATATTTCATTTTGATAAAGCTTGCAATTGATGCTTACTTCTACGCCCCTCTCACCTGGAATCTCGCTGACGATGTGCGCGGTGAACTTAGCGAGGAAGTCCACGTCCACGGCGGCCAGCTCAGTGGACCAGCCGTCCGGGGCCATGTCAGCGCAGAGGGTCCTCGCCGATGGCCAGGTCATGGGCGGGGCGTTGCCTGCGTAGTTTTCCGTGTAGATGTGCACGCAGCGGCCGTCGAGCGGGGTGAAGTCGGCGGGGCACTGGGGGGCAGCGGTGGCGCCGGAGGCTGACGGAGGCGGGGGAGGGATGAGCGAAGAGCGGCGGGAGGGGCGTCACATCGATAGGGTTTATAGTGTGATTTGTACACTTTCTCTCTCTCTCTCTCTTTCCCTCTTCCTCCCTCCCCCCTCCCTCTTTCCCCCCCTCTCACCTCCCTCTCCCTCTTCCTCCCCCTCCCTCCCTCCCTCTTCCTCCCTCCCTCCCTCCCTCTTCCTCCCTCCCTCCCTCCCTTTTCCTCCCTCCCTCCCTCCCTCTTCCTCCCTCCCTCCCTCCCTCTTCCTCCCTCCCTCCCTCCCTCCCTCTTCCTCCCTCCCTCCCTCCCTCTTCCTCCCTCCCTCCCTCCCTCTTCCTCCCTCCCTCCCTCCCTCTTCCTCCCTCCCTCCCTCCCTCCCTCTTCCTCTCTTCCTCCCTCCCTCCCTTCCTCCCTCCCTCCCTTCCTCCCTCCCTCCCTCCCTCCCTCCCTCCCTCTTCCTCCCTCCCTCTTCCTCCCTCCCTCCCTCCCTCCCTCCCTCCCTCCCTCCCTCTCTCCCTCTCTCCCTCTCTCCCTCTCTCCCTCTCTCCCTCTCTCCCTCTCTCCCTCCCTCCCTCTCTCCCTCTCTCCCTCTTCCTCCCTCCCCCCTCCCTCTTTCCCCCCCTCTCACCTCCCTCTCCCTCTTCCTCCCCCTCCCTCCCTCCCTCTTCCTCCCTCCCTCCCTCCCTCTTCCTCCCTCCCTCCCTCCCTTTTCCTCCCTCCCTCCCTCC